GCTTTTCCTAACTATGTTTCCAGCTAAAATTATTCCAGCTTATTATGTCCTTTATAAATTAATAAATTAATGTCTAAGAATAAATTATATCTTGACAAAAAGATCATACGTGTTTTTGTGTAATGTAGGGTTTTGTGTAATATATGCGTTCAGGAAGAGATGCTTTTTAGCTGTGTTAGTTTGTCTTAGAAAAACACCAGCTCTCCTGACTGCACCTTAGCTGTGAAAATTCTTTATAGTCCAAAACATATTCTCCGACATCTTTTACCTAGCATAATTTTAAACAAGACTTTGCACCAGTCCAACATAAGAATATACTATTTGTCGTTAATCCTATGTATCCAGAAGCACGCTTTTAAATAGAAGCAGTATTTTCAATATAGATGTGGCTTGCTTCCTGCTGTAAAAATGTGGCAGAGATAACGTGATTACAGGCTTCTGTTACATTAAATACAAATGAAGTTTTATCTTTTTTGATTTTTTGTGGTTGTCACTGTTGTTTTAATTATACAAGATAAAAATGGTAGAACAAACGGCCAGAAGAGGTGATCAATACTACCTGCTCCTTCTGATCCTCAGCAATCCTGTTTAAAGTGGAAGTCCCACCAAAAGTTATAGTAGTTTTTCCACTAACCTCAGCTGGAGATAATCTAGGTTTAATGTTTTCAGTATAAGTAATTAAAGTACCTGAGGCCTTGATCAAGGTTGTATTGTCAATATAATTATACAAGTGTAGCTATTTTCTGTACTATTGTGCACACATACCTATAAAGGTGTAATTTTCTACATGGGCACTCAAATTCTCCTCAAAGAAAAATAAACCAGTAACAGTTCTCATGTTAGCTGCACAGTTTGCTATGACTTAACTGTAAATCAAAAAAGTACCTGGTACTAGAATAGGAGTACAGACTTGGGAGTTTATAATAATGCAACCATATTAGAATAAATGTGCACCCCCAAAACTATCCATGTAGATAAATCCTTTTGCATGGGCACTGTGGACTGAGCCAAGAAGGAAAGACAAAGATTAATCATTACAAATCCCAAGTTTTAGGGCCACTACCATCTATGACAATTTTTCCCACTTAGTTTGCAACGTCCCTATACCCAGCAGATCAAGTGATATTGAGGGGAAAAGCACCTAGCTCAAAATACAGGGAAGAGCCGAATCGTGCCAGTAATCACATCAGGCTGCTAGCATAGCACCGTGCCATAATGTATATACCTGCCTTTCAGTAAGGCTAATGAGCTGAGGAACAACATGGGGTCACCGTGAACTAGACCTGCTTCATGTCTTGCAGGCTGAACGCATGAGCAAGCCCCGCCCCCATGCCCTTCCTTACAGACACAGTGTTACAGGTGCAGGGCCTTCAAGCAGCTCCAGCGTGAGGTGCGAATCTAAGCAGTTGCTCTAGGATGCTGCAGGTTGAGCTTCGAAGATGCAGTTTGGCTCAACCAGCTGTAATCGTAGTGAGTGTAAAGCCCTGTGAGCACAAGGACATTATTGTGAAGTAAACCAAGGTGACAGCAGAAAACCAGACGAGCTATTCTGCACTGACTTCAGATGCAGATCTTCCATTCTGGGATACAAATGCACCCTCACCACTCGGCTCAAACCCCGTCCAAACAAAGCTCACTCAAAGGAGCTAGGAAAACTGAGTTCAAGTCCGTTAAACATTTCTCTGCCAATACAGCATTGTTTCATATGCCATATTTCCTGCAATGTGATGGAACTAATATTAATTTATTCCACATAATTCCTAACACTATTATTTAAATTGTGTACTCCAAGAGGTTTACATTTAAAAAATTAAACTGCTGTACCAATAAACTAAGATTTACAGTGTGCCCAGAATGAAACCTTGTGTGGCACTGAACAGAAGTATGGTGTGCTGTGGCTGGGAGACTGAGGGAAGCATTTCCTTCTGGGGACACATGGGCCTTCCCATCTCCGCTGCTCTCTACTGCATTCCACTAGCATTCAGAGCTGACTGAAGCTGCCTCAGTCTGCCAGTAACACTGGATTTTATACTGGTGATTATTGTAATAATACATTTGCAGGAAATTTTCAGGACTTAAATAGTTTCTGCAGAAATACTTTACTCACTATTACCTCTCATCCAGGCTCCAAAATAAAACGAGACATATAGGTCAGTTCTCTCTTGGCACGATGGCAACGTTGACCAGCGAGCCAACTACAGCAAAAACCGCCCATGAAATTCTTGGGTGCAGCACGTGGAGGAAAAACAGTGTGGAACTCAGGGAAGATGCACAGAGATACAAAATGATGATGATGTCTGAAATTTTTGAGACAAAGCGTTTGAAAGGAAACAATCAGGAAGAGTTGGGTGCCGGCCAGCCAGATGCAGGATGCGTCACCTCTCAGAGACCCAGCTGATCCTCGGAGCCGAAATCATCTTTTGAAAAGCTTCGCTGAAGACTGGAAAGCAAAATACATAATGGAGATGTCAAGCAGCTCCCACAATCTTCTTCGAATTAAACCTGTTCACAAAATCAAAAGAAGGAAGGTCTCGGCTCCGAACGGGAAACTCACACTGCTTCTTTCCCTCAGCAGCGCGCCCCCCACCTCCCTCCGCCTCTC